TAAATCATTCTCAGCATGGGAGCATTTAATAAAAATGAGAATTGAACATTGGACACGATCACATTTTTCAGGACGTTGATATAACATGATGAGTCAAACAATGCGGAGTCTCTCAATGCATTATTCAAAAATGATCGAGAGTTACTAATCCTTATAATGATCGAAAACATTCGTAACAAGCTACACAGTGGTTCCATGACGAACGTGCGAAATCACAGAGTTGTAGGAGTGGGCTAGCCCCGACTCAGGAGGATAAACTCTTCAAGGTTACAAAGGTTGCAAGAAAGTTGAATATAGAACCACTGAATGAATTGGCTTGTTCGTGAAATGTGCACGTAATATGGCATACATGGTGGACTTGACTGATTTCAGTTGGAGAGTTTTTTGTGTGAGCATGTAGTTGTGGTGCTATGTATAGAGGTTTTGCAGCGAAAACATTATGCTCTCTTTATTACACGGCTGATTATTGGAGAGTGGCATATGTTGAGACTATATTTTCTCTACCGAATGAAGCCGAGTGGGAAGTTCCCGGCCATATTTTTCCACTTAATAGTTTGCTGCCACTCAAAGTTGAATCGCGTGGTCCTAGACGTTTACGTACGTCTAAAATATCATCTACCGAAGAGTTTTCTCAACCGTGTAGGTGCAGCGGTGTAGAGCAACATGTCATACGTATTCCCCAAAATGACAATTAGACAGATGGGTAATGATATCACTGATAATTGAACAATATTTACAATTATTTCATAAATAAATAAATAATTAAATATACAATATTTACGAGACACAATTGAATTCATACCAATCGTAGGCTAACTTGTTCCTCCAATTTTGTATCCAGAATTGGTTGATTCCATCAAACTTATGTGCTATTCTCAAAAATTCGATATAATTTATTACAAACACGCCACAATCACCTATGCAAATAAATAATAATGTGTTCGTTTGGTACTGTGTAGTTAAAAACTAAGTTTTCAAATTAAAAAAAATTATAAGTATTTATGATTTCGACTGTCTCGCCATCGTCGTGTCTCACAAGATAGCAAGTCTGTCCTGCACAATCACACCTACTCTTCTATCTAAATAAAGAATGATCACAGCTATCGACTCCAGGTGAAGCTCGAGCTGACCCTATGTCAGACAAGAATGATTGGAGTTGTACACATATATAGTGGAATAAGTAAAGACGATCTCCACAACAAATCAGTGATTATTCACGATCAGTGGAATGTACATATGCGTAAAACCCTCTCATGACTTTTCCCCAACACTCGGCCACATCCCAATGACCCACTCGAGCATATATTCGGGCACCATGTACTCATTACCCATAAGTTGGAGCGACTGATACTAAATGATAACGACACGTATGAACTCGGTGCTCAATATAACTCGGTCAGGAATGTCAAATGATGTGGATATTTTTGAGCTCGATCCGCAACAAGTTCATAGTCAGGTCGATGTGCTACATCAGGAAACGCCAATAAAAAATGGAGGGAGTTATTTCATTTAATAAACAAAAAATTATGTATACATAATAAATAACAATTGCAATATTACACTTACATCTTCGACAAGCCAATCTCCCAAAGTTGTAACGTTATGAAAGCACTTATAGGCGTCAGGGGTCTTCCTTTGAGCTACCACACCGATCGAGTCTTTCTTCTTTATGAAAAACTGTGAAAAGAAGCATAGATAAGTTAGCGTAACATACTTTACTAAAATCATAAAATATTTACTTGGGCATAATTCTTCGCTACTCTGTCTCGAATGCTTTCCACTTGGCATGGTCAACCTCCCGGAAGAGATTGGGGTACGTTTCATAGACGAACATCTTTCTCTTCGCCTTAGCTGTGAAGGGAGAAACGACGTACCGTGATAGTAATCTTAGCCTATTGTCGACCACCTACTCGACACCTCAATAGCATGCTTCTTACCCTCTGTCACGATTGGCGTCCTCTCCTCATCCGCCACATCGGGCTCGCCATTACCTCTATCATCAAGGCCACCATCCATCCTTGGAGACCACCACCTCCTCCGTCATCAGGGACACCCCTTCCACCTCGGGCACCGCCACCTCCTCCATCATCGGGACACCCCCTTTGCCTCAAGACCGCTACTCCCTTCGTCCACTCCTCCTCTGCCCCTCTCCCGTCCCCATCAGGGCCAGCTCCACAGATAACAAAAATGATTATAATGCATCATCATTTGTCCACAACAGTGTGTGACCCTGATCTCCGTTACCCTGTCTATCATTTCCTCATTTGCCTGCTATATCGGCTTGGAGCGCTATGACCTCATCTTGAAGTTCTCCAATATGGCCTCGTAGCACAGCAACATCATAGCATAAACTCGATACCTAACTGCTCAACCTTCGTCGCAGCATCCCTACATCCTCTTGTAGCGTACCCACATCCTCTCTCCCTTCTCGTCATAACACCCCTACCTCATTTCGTGCGCGCCCACCTCCTTTGCCATAAATCCAGTCAGATGGACATACAGACCATCAAAATAATGACTCGACTGTGTACAGGAGATCCACGGTGGAGTTATCTTGATGGAGGGAAAGGAGATCTCATCAGCGGAGGTGAACCCATCGACGAAGGTGATCCCATCGTTGGAGGTGATCGTCGATCAACTAGACCGCGCTCCTACACAAATACCAATATTAAAAATTGTTAATTTAGTTAAAATATGCAAACTCATACAAAATGGTAATGAATAAATTATATTCAATTTCACATACCCAAGCTTAGTCCATAATGGAATTGGGCATCTAGTCGTGTTGAGTATGCATAATGACCAAAACCTCGACACTCCTCCTTTGTCGAAGTCGTCAACTTAGTTAGGACTTCAAGCTGATATATTGACAGTTCAATTGGTTAATGATCATGTGATAAAATTTTGAAACGACATAAAATATAAATCCTATTACAAAGAATAAGCACTCTTCATATAAAGCAAAGAAGTTAAAATTGAAAGAATATCTTATAAATAAATTTCCCATCGACAATGAATTGAATAGAATGGAGCAAAAAATCTAAATTTACCTTACCTCAAATTTATAAGGATGGTTAATGTTGTGGTGGTTCGTGGAATCTGA